TCTGATTCTATAGCCGGCTATGGTAATTTCTACAACTTGTCTTTGATGATTAGGTACTGCCATCTAATTCTGGCTAAACTGGGAACACATTATAGTGACTGAGATAATTTCAGCGGCTAAATCTTTCACTGTCAATCCCAACAATTTGCTTTCACTAATTCATATCGTAATGTCTAATTCAGGTAGTATTCTCTGGGCCTTTCCAGGAAAGAAAGAGGCCAGGTGAGTTGGAACAGATTTTTGTGCTTGTCTCCTTGGGGCGTAATGGGATCCAATCCTAATGATAATTCTAGAGGCAATTTAATATTGTACATAATAAATCCCCTTCTAAATTCTTACCTCTCTTAGCCTTTGGGCACACATTTCTGGCATCTCATTGAACTGAAGAATGTAGTTTGGTGGTTTTTAGTGTATTCACGAATATGTGTAAACTGTCACACCACAGTCAATGATAAAGCATTTTCATCACCTCGAAAGAAACCTCATACCCATTAGCAGTGACTAACCCGTCCTCCCAGTCATAGGAAACCTTATCTATTTTCTCTCTACATACTTTGCCTATGCTGGAACATTCATATAAATGGAATTATACAATATATGGTCTTTTATAACTAGTTTTTTCATTCAGTATAATGTTTTCAAGTTTCATCTATGTTGTAGCATGTATCAGAACTTCATTTTTAAAAATTTTTTTGAGATGGAGTTTCACTCTTGTCGCCCAAGCTGGAGTGCGATGGTACAATCTCGGCTCACTGAACCTCTCTGCCTTTCAAGTTATTCTCCTGCCTCAGCCTCCTGAGTAGCTGGGATTACAGGTGCCTGCCACCACACCTGGCTACTTTTTGTATTTTTAGTAGAGTCAGGGTTTCACCATGTTGGCCAGGCTGGTCTGGAACCCCTGACCTCAGGTAATCCATCTGCCTCCGCCTCCCAAAGTGTTGGGATTACAGGTGTGAGCCACCATGCCCAGCCCAGAACTTCATTTTTAATGGCCAAATAATATTCTATTGCATGGATATATAACGTTTATCTATTCAGTAGTAGGGTTTTTTTTTTTTTTTTTTGAGACAGGGTCTCACTCTGTCACCCAGACTAGAGAGCAACATGATAAACATTTCTCACTGCAGCCTTGACCTCCCAGGCTTAAGTGATCCTCTCTCCTTAGCCTCTGAGTAGCTGAGACTACAGGCGTGCACCACAATGCCCAGCTAATTTTTGTATTTTTTGTAGAGATGGAGTTTTGCCATGTTGCTCAGGCTGTTCTTGAATTCCTTGGCTCAAGAAATCTGCCCATTTTGGCCTCCCAAAGTACTGGGATTACAGGCGTGAGCACCATGCCTGACTCTTTTCAGTAGTTGATGGACATTTATGTTGTTTCTATTTTTTTTTTTTTTTGCTAATGCTGCTATAAACATTTGTGTACAAGTTTTCTATGGACATTTTCAATTCTTTCTGTGTATATTTAGGAGTGGAATTACTGGGTCTTATGGTGATATGGTAACATTATGTATACCTTCTCTAATGACTAATGATGTTGAATATCTTTTCATGAAATTATTGGATATTTGCATATATCATATATATATATTATTTTTTTTTTGAGGCAGTCTTGCTCTGTTGCCCAGGCTGGTGTGCAGTGGCAAAATCTCAGCTAGCTGTAACCTCCACCTCCTGAGCTGGGATTACAGGCATGTAGTACTGCATCCAGCTAATTTTTGTATTTTTTTTAGTAGAGCTACTCTCTCGACACTCTGTACTTTTGTTTGCAGCACTTATGAGAATAGCAATTAATTTTCTGCAGGATTATTTCTTAACTGTGTGTATTTGATGTTTGTCTCCCTGCCAGACTACAACTTCCTCAAAGGAAGTCTTTCTTGTTCACTACGGTGTCCTCCACCGTACCATGCAAAATGCCTATGATGCAAGAAGTTATCAAGTATTTGCCAAAAGGAACCTCAGATCCTTAAGCCAAATGATAAATTAATAACACGTATCAGGAGATAATCTCATTGGATAAATATTAGAAGTTTTTACAGGAGCAAACTAGAAAAGAAGTAAATGATAGAGGTACATTCCATGGAAATCAAGGGTGCGGTAGGGATGTAAACATCTGGGGTGGAAGTCAAAGTGGCCCAAGCCTTAAGTATGTTATTCACATTTACCCAGCATTCCTTTATCTCCTCAAGCAGATCCACTTTGAAATAATCAAGACTCCTTTTTTTTTCACTTCTCTCCATGCTAAATAAGACCTATGTAATTCTGATTATTTGCTTGACTCACTGAAGGTGAACATTGATGAGTGACCTAAGCACAAAGATGTTTAGTAAAACCCAGGTCCTTTGAGGATTATTGGCAAAGCAAGACAAGGTCCTAAGAGAGTTCCCAAGGAAACCAGTAGATATCTCCCAAGACAAGTTATTAGGTTGGTTCAATAATAATCGCAATTTCTGCCAATAAAAGTAATTGCAAATTAAAAGTAGTGGCAAAAACGGAGATTACTTTTGTATCAACCTAATAGTTTGTGTGGAGGGCAAATGGCCGCAAGTCTGCTCCCACCTCACGTGCACAGGAACTGGAGCAAGGGTACAAGTGGAAGCACATAACGTGTATATTTATATAAAAGCTTTAAATGAAGAAACTAGTAAACAAGATATGTTATGTCTCCTATTTTGAGAAACATTCTTTATTTTATTTATTAAAACAATTTTTATTTTATTTGTTTATTATACTTTCAAGTTCTGGGGTACATGTGCAATGTGCAGGTTTGTTACATGTGCCACGGTAGTTTGCTGCATCCATCACCCTGTTATCTACATTAGTTATTTCTCCTAATGCTATCACTCCCCAATCCCCCTGTCCCCTGCTGTCCCTCCTCTAGTCACTCCACCCACTGATACGCCCCAGTGTGTGATGTTCCCTTCCCTGTGTCCATGTGTTCTCATTTTTCAACACCCACTTATGAGTGAACATGTGATGTTTGGTTTTCTGTTATTGTGTCAGACAAACTAACTTTCATAATGAGATAGAAAGATAGATTTTAATCTAAAATTCTCAGAGTCCTGGGAATTTCACACTGGAACACTGCAATGTGGTGAGAGCTGCCATCTGTCTCCGCTCCCATAGTTCATGGCCAAATCCCTCCTCTTTCTAACCCCACTCTGACTTGCATTGTAGGGGTCCTCGAGTGTACATGTGTAGACACTCCAGGTGTTGTGTCCAAGCTCCATCCATATTTCCAGCAGACAACTGCCCCTTGGCCAGCCAGCATTAGGCTCAGGGCTATATACGCCTGAGAGAACTGACTCAGGGACGCAGCTCAAGCAGTCCTTGGATGTAAGTTCAAGGCCATTTAGGCAGGAAATTATGAAGGCTTGGGATTTGGATGGCATGTTCCCTTGTTTCAACATGTTTCTTGTGCCCAGAGAAGAACATGACAAAGTTCAGAGTGGAACCCTCTAACACACGGGTCCCTGAACAAAGGCTCTTCCTTCCCAGATCTGAGGGAAAGTAGTATGGTAGCAAACTGATTTATTCCGTCTCTTTTTTTCTGTTATAATATGTAGGTGTGTAGAAGAAGCTAAAATTGGGAGGAAGGTGTGAAATGTTTCATTGGGTGAAGGCATTTTTATTTTATTTCTTGTATCTCTTATGGGAAGACTTTGTTTAGACTGCTGATTCTGGAACTTGGCCCAATGTCATGCTAGTTGGACTGGTCTCTGTTTTAGGTCATTCCAGATTCTCAAAAGATAATGACTAGTAGCACAGATAACGTATATGCTTTGCAGGGTCTATATTATAGATGTTGGAAGTCTCAGGAGACTATATGATGAGAAATAGGATTTGGATTTATGGTTTTACTCCTTATTGATCCATCAAAGACGTCATTTATTGAGTAGCCCCAGGCACATCTGATTTCTTATTTAAAATCATGATGTTACATTTCAGGTCAAAGGATGCTGAGAAGTTATCATGTAGGTGTTTTCAAAAAAAAAAAAAAACACCAAAAAGATCTAATATAAAACAGATAGAAATAAAATGAAAATAATCAAAGGTGAATTGGAGATCTGCCCTCCTTGCCTCATCAGCATCCTGAGGACTTCTCTGCTCAGTTTCTCGAAGAGCCTCCAGGAATTACCTGCGGGCAGTCGTTAAAAATGCAGATTCCTGGGTCTTGCCCCACTGAGTTAGACTGTGAGAATCTGATTGTTTGACAAGATCCTGCAGTGATTTATATGTGTTCTTACACTTCCAGCTACAACAGATCTCACTGGACTAGATTGGGGTTAGGATACACATATTTTTAAAGTGTTCCGGATAATTTTGAAAATTATTCTAAAATTTGGGAGCTGTTGAAATAAATACTCTCTAAAGTGACAACGTCTGAAGCAGTGGTTCTCAAAGTATGATCCTGTGGCCGGCAGCATCAGCAGCACCTGAAAACTTTCAGAAATGTAAATTCTTGGCCCTCCTACTCCCAGGCCTTAGTAAGAATCTCCAGAACATGGCCCACCTATCGGAGTATTAACAAGTTCTGCAGGTGTTTCTCATGCTGCTGAAGTTTCAAAATCACTGGTTTAAACAACCCCCTTAATACCATTCCCCAACAATTCAATAAACATGCGTTGACACTCTGTGAACATTCGGCTCTAGGAACTTTGGAGAGCCTGAAGAAGTCACAGTTCTCAAAGACTGGTCAGTGACATTTTATTTGCAGTCCTGATTTTGGTTCTGGAGAGATCAAGAGAATGTCAAGTTTCAGCAGGTAGAAAAATTCTTTCTGTGAATATAAAAACAGTCATTTTTAGAAATAGTTTTTATTTTATTCTTTATACTTTCTGTATTTTTCAAATATTAAACAATTTAGATTGGCAAAAACAATACAATTCTGGAAAATATAAGCCATTGGCAAAAAGTGATTTGTCAATGCAGCCATCTGGGTGTGGCCGTGGGTATAAAAGTATCCCAAGCAGGGCAGCCGCTTCCAATTGCCTGAATTTTTCAGGAGTCATTAGTAGGCTGCTGACGTCATGAGGGATTTTGTGGGGTTGCAATCGTCTTTGCTTTTGTCTCTTTCTGAGCAAAAGTCAGGTACAAGTGACCCTTATATTTTGTTGTTTAAAGGCATGGTTTCTTAACGGCTGTGGGCCTTTTACCGTTTGTTGTTTTGAGTAGAAGTGACTTTCCGATATAGTTTTCTGACTTCCGTAGTGGTATTGCTTCCTCTTGTTTGTTCTCTACCACCCCATAAAGCAAATGATTGATCTCGTTTATCCTAATGCGCGGGAGAGAGCTATTTTTCATTATTCCTCTGGATTTAGGTGTTTTCTGTTGCGTTTGGTCACCCCATTCACCCTTCCTGTGGAAAAATATTTCTCTGTTTAAAGTTTCAACTCGATCTTCCACCTCCCACCCTGATCTCCCACTCATAATCCTGCTGCCTGCCTCCTGTCCCGCCCTGTTGCCTCCTAAGTGATCAGGAGTTAGTGATCATAAATCAGGTTGTGAAAATAAAGCTCTTCATTCTTTCGCCTCTCACTTCTTATTCTTCCTAAGTCATAAAGTTGTTATCATTAATATTAATTGTTTTATTTGTATTCCACTTACTTTTTCCTTGTGTCCTACCTACCTGCGGCTTATTTTACAGTAATCTTCTCATCTAAACTATATGTTTTTTCTTTATTTAAAAAGTTACTCTATAGAAATGCCACATATAAAATAAATGTAACTTTGTTATTTCTAGTATTTTTTTTTATTATGAAAATACAGTGATGAATCATTTGTTTAGACAAAAACATGTTTTTGTCTAAAAACTTTTTTGGGATATGTTTCTGGTAGTAGAGTTAATGGACACAAGTGAGGAAATGCTGCTGAAGCACCACAGCTGTGAATGTTTTGAGTTGGCAGACTCACCAGAAGTGAATAGGTTTTAATCTGAGACGATCTTCCTTTTCATCATAGAAGGATGCAGGGTGGAGACATAGCAGGTGCAGCTCTTTATCTTATTGGCAGGTCTAGCAAATGCTCAAGGGTACAGTTTCCTTTGTCTCTTCACCCACATGGGTTGTAGATGTCTGCCAGGGATGAGAATAGGAGGCCACAGAAGCTGCAGCTTCAGTGCCCTATCAGTCATCTACACCAGCCTAATTATGTAAACTCAAGCCAGCTTGAGGCTCCTCCAATCCAGACAGCAAAAGAAGCAGAGACAGCATCCCACATTTAGCTTACTGTTGAACTTTTAAGGAAACAGCACTGGAAGTGTGGGGAAGACAGAGGTTGTCTCTAGATAGGCTTGAATAGGACTGATCCTCCATTTATAATTTTACCGTTTCATCTGAATGATCATATTGTATCTCTCAAGGATATTTTACAGTAGTATCTTTTTAAAAAAAATATGCTATGTTCAAATTTCCTCTTGGTGTCCTCTAGCATAAAGTTTCTATCTAAATATTTTGTAAAAATATTTTTCAACAGTGTCAGTAGGATGTACTTCCTCTATGTTCTGGGTTGTGGCTGAACCAACTTTACTTGGTCAAGATCATATTTTGCATTCTGATGAAGTATCTCTAGGAACTGGCTGTCCTGTAACCAATGTAATTGAGAAGGGATATGAGTTTAATTACCCTGTCACTGAGTGTGGGATTCAGAAAGAGGTAAGAGCTGTGAGCATTTCAAATAATAAACTAACCTGTCGATTGTACCTTGCAGTAGCACTGTGTGTACTGTCAGTGTGAGATATTTTTATGGCACTTGAATTTGGTATTTTGAGGATAGGAAAACCAGTGGGAACCTTGATTTGGCCATGAAATATAATGGCTTATGGCCATTGTGGAGAATACTTCCACATACATATATATTATTATAACTTTCCACGCACTCTCTCCTTTTTTTTTTTTTTTTTTTTTTTTTTGAGACAAAGTCTTCCTCTGTCACCCTGGCTGGAATTCAGTGGCACGATCTCAGCTCACTGCAACCTCCGCTTCCTGGGTTCAAGCGATTCTCCTGCCTCAGCCTCCCTAGTAGCTGGGATTGTAGGCAACAGCCACTGTGCCTGGCTAATTTATTTTTATTTTTAGTAGAGACAGGATTTTACCATGTTAGCCAGGCTGGTCTTGAACTCCTGACCTCATTCCACCTTCTTCAGCCTCCCAAAGTGCTGGGATTCCAAGCACTTGTAACTCTTTTTTAGTCCTTACATCCCCTAAAGTCTAGAAGCACTGTAAAACAGCCATTGTTCCCAGTTTTCACAGTAAGTAACTGAGGCTAAAGTGAGATAAAACATCTGTCCAACAGATCTATAAATGAAACTTGCATGTTGGTAAATTAGGATTTACAATTCTCCCTTCAAAGAAGAAGGCAATGAAATAAAGTGGATAATAACAGAGGTAGAATTCACTAGGGGAAATCAGAGGAAAAAAACTCTGAGGAGATTTGAGGTTAAGGTGGATTTGCTAGTATGTTGTTTTTAATTTTTACATCTATGTCTGTGAATGAGATTGGTCTATAACTCATTCTTTCTCATATTGCTCCTTGTCAAGTTTTGAAACAGTTTAGTTAAGACTGGAATTTTTTGATCCTTGAATGCTCAATAGAATTTGGCAATAAAATCTCCTGTATCTTTTCTCTGTGGTTTTATCACTGGAATGACGTTGAATCTAGGTGGTGAAGGCAATTGAATTAGGGAGGAAGAGAGCCAGGATTTTCTGACAGCAACGTACAGACTATTCAACATGAACCTTTGATGGAGGATGAAAAGTGGACTCTGCAGCATGCAGTGGTTTTACAATGTGAAAAAAGTAGTATATTTTGGGAGGCTGAGGCCGGTGGATCACCTGAGGTCAGGAGTTCAAGACCAGCCTGGCCAACATGGTGAAACCCTGTGTCTATTAAAAATACAAAAATTAGTCAAGTGTGGTGGCAGGTGCCTATAATCCCAGCAACTCAGGAGGCTGAGGCAGGGTGAAGAATTGCTTGAACCTGGGAGGCGGAGGTTGCAGTGAGCTGAGATTGTGCCAGTACGCTCCAGCCTGCAGGACAGAGCAAGACTACATCTAAAAAAAAGTAGTATATTTATAGGAAAATTAAGTGGTGAATAACCACACTCTCCATTTAGAGGTATGTATGTCCTATACAAACCATTCTGATTTCTTCCATATGTTGTTTCACATCTACAAAACTTATTAATTTAACTTTACATGGAAGTTTATAGATTTCTAATTTCTTTGGCCTTTGTAGTTTTTCCCTTATTTTGAAGTGTGACTTATTATGGATATACAGAAATCGTTACAAAGACCAAAGGATTAATAACCTGACTTTACAAAGTTTGTACAACTAAACATGAGACACTAGGAGAGGCAGAGACATCAACCACAATGTTATTACAGGAGCCACAAACTCTGAAGTCAAATAACCAATCAGAGCTGTAGGTTTCTTTTGAAGGCCTTTTTCCCCCTATGGCATGAAAACCTTTTCTAAAGTTTTCAGGGTCTTATAACACCCCATTGAAATTACCCTTTAAAGGGCAGATTGTATATGGAACAATTTGGTTAGTGTTTAAAACGTTCTTAAGTTTCTATAGAATACAAAAAACAATGTTAATATTCACATGAGTAATTTGATTTAATACCTTATCAAATCAGGTTATTTCAAGGAGTTTTGATGCAAAGGATCTCTCTCTACCTTGGCAGCTTCATTTCTTTCTTAGGTTTTTAATTTATAAAGATTTTCCATTTAAAGGGCAGGATCTAGAATTTCAACCATATTAAAAACAAAACGAAGACTGTAGCACTCAGTCTTAAGCAGCAGACGTGGATTAGGAAAGAATTAAACATTTAAGCGCACAATACATGGTTTTTAGTACACTGAAAAACTTGTGCAACCGTCACTGCTATCTAATTCCAGGATATTTTAATCACCTCTCAAAAAAATGCACCCATACCTATTATTAGTCACTCCACTGCCTCTTCTCCACTAGTTATAGGCAACCACGAGTCTAATTTCTGTTTCTATAGATTTGAATACTCTGGATATGTCATATAAATTCAGTCATACAATATGTGGCCTTTCATGATGTTTGCTTAGCATGTTTTCAAAGTTTATATCATAGCAAATCTCAATACTGTGTTTCTTTTTATGGCCAAATAATTGTTTTTACTTTTTGTCTGTTACTGCTATACATTTGTGCACATGTTTATGTGTGAACGTATGTTTTCGATTGTGCTGCGTAAATATCTAGAACTGAAATTTCTGGCTCATATAGTAACTCTGTTTAATTTTTTGGAGTTGCATAGTCTTTTATTTCTCTAAACATGATGAGTCTTTGGCTGGATGTCTTCAATAAAAGGTCTAACAATCAAAGTTAATCATTTATTTGTCCCAACTCCAACTCTTCTGTGGGAACAACTGTTCATCCTATTGTTTGGTTTCTTCCTTCAGTGCCCACCCAAAATACCAGTTTTAATGCCCACAGGATCAAAGCAAAACACTGAAACACCAGAGTTGTTGTAAATGAGTAGATTTTTTAAACAGCCAATTTGGACACCTGTTCATTGGAACTTATTTTTGCTCCAGCTTTAGTTCTTTGAGAAATGCAGGAATTCTTTTCACCAAACTATCAGCCTGATCCAAGAATGTTGAAAAGTTAGCTGCCATTGCTACCTCCAACCTCCAAAGAAACCTAAAAACCTTAGAAGATTAAATGTAGTAAAATGTAAACAGGAACTATAATGTACAAGCCACTTGAGAACTATAATTGTGCAGAATTTACCCATTTTTCAAATTATTTTTCTGAGTGAATAGAACATTTGTGAAACAAAGTATATGGTGCTTAGAAGAGTGGTTAAATGATGGGTTAGCTTTAGTACAAAACTTTTTCTGTCTTAGCTGGGTGCAGTGGTTCACCCCTACAATTCCAGCACTTTGGGAGGCCGAGGTGGGTGGATCACTCAAGGTCAGGAGACCAGCCTGGTCAACATGGTGAAACCTCGTCTCTACTAAAATACAAAAAGTAGCCAGAAATGGTGGCAGGCACCTGTAGAGCTGCTACTTCGGAGGCTGAGGCAGGAGAATTGCTGGAACCCAGAAGGTGGAGGTTGCAGTGAGTGGAGATCACCCAACTGCACTCCAGCCTGGGCAATGAGACTCCATCTCAAAGCAACAACAACAACAAAATAAAAAACTTTTTCTGTCTTAAGAAAGACAGGGGACTGCACAATCATCCTGTCAGGTAGGTCCTCTTATCCCCATTTTACAGAAGAGGAAAATGAAGTTCAAAAAGATTAAGTAACCTACCAAAGATCACACAGCCATGACTGCCAGTCTCTTGCTGGACACTGCAAACTTAGCTACTTTTAAAAGAAGACAATTTTAAATGGAGTACTAATTGTTATCCACAAAATGAAAACATTAATGTGATTAACAACAAAATATTTCTCAGATAACGGTTTTATAGAGAGGTTAAGGAAAACCAAAGTTAAGGATTCTGGATTCATATATAAAGATTTGGATTCTTTTTCAAATATAAAACACTCCTAATATTCCTGGTTCACTATTGAGAGGAAGGGAAGAATCTTGCAGTGGCTTAAATAACAAACAGCAATTTAATTCCTGGGTAGATATGCAAAAGAATTAAAAACAGACATTTAAACAAATATACCTGCACATATGTTCTGGAAATGAAAAGGAGAGGGCAAAGAGAGACACAGAAGAGAACCACTGCCGCTGCTGCCAGGATCCAGCTGAACTTGAGATTGTTTTATTAATTTTATTTTCAAGTTGTTCATTGCTAGTGTAGAGAAATAGAATTAATTTCTATCTATTGATCTTGTCTCTTATAACATTATTGAGCATGCTTATTAGTTGTAAAAGTTTTTTTGGGGTGGATATCTTATGATTTTATATATACAAGATCATGTCTTATTTATTTATTTAAAGATGGAGTCTTACTCTGTTGCCCAGGCTGGAGTGCAATGGTGCAAACTCAGCTCACTGCAACCTCTATCTCCTGGGTTCAAGCAATTCTGCTGCCTCAAGGCTCCCAAGTAGCTGGGACTACAGATGTACACCACCATGTCCTGCTGTATCTTTTTATTTTAAGTGGAGACCAGATTTCACCATGTTGGCCAGGCTTGTCTCGAACTCCTGACCTGAAGTGATCTGCCTGCCTTGGCCTCCCAAAGTGATGGGGTTACAGGCATGAGCTGCTGTGCTAGGCCTCATGTCATTTTTAAATAGAGCTAGTTTCACATCTTCCTTTCCAATCTGGATAATTTTTGTTTTGTCTTCTTGCCTAATTTCCCTGGCTAGAACCTGCAGTACAATATTGGATGCAAGTAGTGAGAGTGAACATCTTTACATTATTTTTGATTATAAGGGAAAAGCTTTCAGTCTTTCACTGTTAAGTATGATGCTGGCTGTGGGATTTTCACAGGTGCTCTTTATCAGGTTGAGAAAGTACCCTTTTGCCTTTAGTTGTAGACAGTTTGTTTTTTTCCATCACAAATCATATTGAATTTTACATTTTTTCCCTTGAGGCTATTGAGATGATCATATGGGGTTTGCCCTTTCTTCTATTGATATGGTGTATTACATTGATTTTTGTATGTGGAGCCAACATATGCTTTTCCTGGGATGCTTATTCCTTTTTATAGTTGCT